AGTTTGAAAAAAAAACTGCTTTTCTTAAAGTTTTTAAACAATCTTTCTTTATTTTTGAGTTTTATTAGTATTTCAAAGCCAAGACATAAGTTGATTGAATTTTGAAAAACCAAAGAAATGAACAAGGATATTTGGTCGTTGCGCAAGTATCATAGAATGTTCCGAGCAAATTTATTTTAAAACAGCAAATCAGAAACAAAGTTTTTGTTACAAAATTTGAATACGCTTCCTGTTATTTTTTTTCCAAGAATGACTCGTGAGAAAAGTGCAGTGGAAAATTTAGGGAGTTCGTCCGTATTGTCTGTCAAAACGGAATAAAAATTAGACCACTTTTTCTCAACACAAACGAACTGTTTTATGTTTCTCTTCGAATGATAATTACAACTATTGACGCTTTAATATGATACCACACAGCGCCATCGTTCTTTTTTAACATTTTTTGTGACGTGGTTAAAACCGACGTGAATCAACAGGCTGAATGTTTTAAGTTTAGGACCCCAAAACGTCAATAATGAAAAAAAAAAATTCAAAATCTTTGCACAGAGGCGAAGAACTTCAGAAACGTCAAGACAAAACACGAGCCATCAAATTAAAAACTGAAATCTTGAAAGCGAATATTACAAACCCAAAACACAGGTGATTGAATTCTTTGAAAAAGAGGGGATTTTTGAATGACCCATTTTTGTGGTAAAATTTTGGTTGAGAGCTTCGGAGAAAAAATTGAACAATATTAATTCTGGTGAAACTCTGAGCAGCTCTTATTCTCTTCACTTTTTGTCGAATCTAAACCCAAATTGAGAAAACTCGCTTGAAATTTTAAATTTTGTTCGTTTTTTCCCGGTTAATTTATATCAGCACTGTGTACTTAACTTAGACTAAACATAATTTGTTAATTGAAAGAAAAGAAATGTTAAATGTTATAGCAGAACGCCAGAATACAGTTAGTTTTGAAACAAGGGTATCAAAATAGCAAAACACTTATTTTGAATTTAAAAACTTTCGTAAGTTGATAATGTGTTTGAAAAACTTTGATGAAATCTTTTGATCACCGCCATCAGCTACACTTGAGAATAATGTTAAGCAAAAATCAATCGCAAATTTTGCCTCTCAATTCTTTTGAAAAACCTTTTCATTATCTTTTTAAATATAAAGTCATTTTTTGTTATATCTAAAGCTTGCTTTACCCTAAAACTAGCATATGCGAGTCCCGTGATGGAACATATATTCTGCATCTAATTCGAGTAGCGGCAAGAACTTTTAAATTTTAATTGACTGAAACGCAAGCAAGACTGCTCGTATCAGGGTACTAAGACTGTTGATTGCGCCATAAAATCAATGGAACAGTTTTTGATTTTAAAAATTGATTAAATTATCAAGAGTGGAAAAAACTTCACCCCTTTATCATTTTTCACTGCTGGCTTCAAAAGTACAGAGGGATGTATTAAGATTCTAATAACCCATATGTAGTACCACGTAACTAGCTTCAACTCAATTTGAATTGATTTTTGAGCAGCGCTTTTAACGATAATGAGCGTTAATGATTCAAGATTCAACCCTCTTAAGTCACTAAATTTCTTATCAAAAATAATCAAACTTGATGTATGTATTTTTAAAAAGAGCTCAATACAATAAAGTTTTTCAGATGGTATGAAAAATTTTAGTCAAAATGACTAATCAAAAAATTTGTAGCGTAATAAAGCCATGAGTAATGGAGTAATGTAGCAGGCCCGATATGTTTTTAGAAAAAAATGTTTGATACAGTTTTATGAACCTTATGAAAGGTCATTAATTTCGTATGGTCTGATTGTGTATGGTTGCACATCAAAAAGTTAATCAAGTAAAATCTTCTCGCACAGAAAAAATGTTACGAACTATATTTTTCAAAACAAAGTGTGATCATATAATCACAAAACTGATACGGTTTTTGAACTTTTCCTTCGTCAAATTTTAAAAAAATGTTTGAACAGCTATGAAAAAAATCTCAGAATCATTTATAAGATGTTGATTCAATAACTTGTCGTCGCACAACACGATCAAAGACTGGAGGTATTTTGCCATAGAGTGTTCACAAAAAATGGCTAATGCTTTTCTGTTAACTAATTAAATGTTAGAATACTGCGCAGAAAAGCAATTTAATTCCAAAATTTTACAGAAAATGTCAGATACTGAGTTTCGGATTTTTTGTTCAAACTTTAAAGTGGTATTTTTGAGAGACAATTGGAATTTTTTTGAGCTAATGTTTTCTAATTAAAAAAGGGTTCGATCAAATCCTTCCTCATTTAAAAGTAACTGGCTTGGGGTGCTACTAGATAGTGTCCTTGACGAAGTGAATTCATTTCTAAATTGTACTTAGCAGCTGCGTCTGGATTCAAACTATCTAGCCATGAACTCGGATGATTTTCGCATATATCACGTGTCCAAAAAATTTCGTCACACAAGTCGCATGTAGCAAACTTTTATGCCCCCCCTTGTTATCAATATACAACCATGCATTTGATAAAGCATGGTATTCTGAGCAACCCCCAAATCAATTTTCAATTTTAAAAACAACAAATCTTTTTCTCGATGGTTTCAAAATTGATATTTACATATGAAATTCTTAGGAAATTTACATATTTACATCATTAAACAAAGCTTTTAGAATATCATGAAGTTTTTTAAAATTGAAAACCAATTTTTCATAACACTTTCTCACAGCCTAATTTTGTAAGATGTTGTTAGATTCATAGCAGGACCAAAAGGAGGTAAAAATTGACTGAAAAGAAATTAGTTATCCGAGGATGGTCATCCAACTATCCGATCATGAACGGTTTTTAGTTCTGAATATTCGAATAAATGATCTTTCCCTCAAACCTTATTTTCAGTGGTTCGTTTGAATTTATTCATGAGCGCATTCCAAAAAAGCATAGTATTTTTGAAATGCCTTATTTTTCGTTTTCGTAAAGCTCGTTTTCAAAAAATCTTACAGAAGCTAAAAATTTTCCCTATAATTCTGATCGACAAAGAGTGTGATGAAAAATGTGAAATTAAGTTTTGTCGTAAATGACAATTAACCCCGGTAATGATTAGTTGCGTTTCAAAAAATTACAACTTCCTGCAAACCTGTGCGAAAGAAGTTAGCCAAGCAAATGGGCTCAATTGGAATTTTTCAAATTCCAGAGCTTCTCAAAAAACATAATAATGAAACTGTTCCCTAAATTTTGAAATCAAAACGTCAATGTTTTTCATGTGTTTTTGCAAAGTTTGGTACTTGTTTTTGTTCCGACCATCAAAAATGGGGAGAAAAATTATTTTTGGGAATGATTTAGCTTTTTTCATTTTTTT